CAGTTAGCAGAGCGCGTTCTAATACGTGCGTGTGTATGTATGTGTGCCTAAAAAAAATGCAGAGTGATTGGAATATCAGACTGGAGGGTTCAGGGTATCTCCTAGTCGCGCAGTCTCGACTAGAGTCTTCTTACTTGTTTCTTCTTCATTTGCTATTGGCAGTAGTAGTCTGTTCATTAAGCTTCAGTTTTTGTTCTTGATTTAAGACAATGACCAAACAGGTTTTAGAGCCGTGCGCCCTCTCGTGTTTTATTTAAATTATGAACTCGTTTCTCCTGATTTATGATTTCTGCCTATAGAGTAAAAGCAAAGAAATTAGAGCTTCCACAGATAAGATTATTTTAAAAAGGTATTACTATTTTCCTTGCACTTCGGCTGTATGTACTATTGACTCTAGGGAGCTATTCAGATCTGCACAGCCCTATATACCGTAAATCAAATATATATTTAAGAGGAACCACCTCTTTTTGTACTTTCATATAATCATTTGAGTTAAATGCAGATAATCAACTAATTAAATTTGTAAGAAACAAGACATGTTATTCGCCTTGATCAAGAAATTCGCTGAGTTTTATATCCGCTTGTGAATCCGTGAGAACTTCTATAGGGTTACTATTTGTCTAAGCTTAAACTACTTGACCCATTTGTTAGTCGGCTTGTGGATATTTTTGTTTTTGTTTTTTTTTTTCCTATTAATAAAACTTCTCAGATTTCTACACTGATTTCTAAACATCATTAGGCAATGATCGGCGCCGTATTTTCCGGGTTTGCTGCACCAAATGCTTATTCAGTTATGGCGAAAGATCGAATTGCTTCTTCAATTTTGACTAAGCAAAATAATAAATGAATCGAAATCTATTAATAAATAATAATAGTAAATAAATAATAGACGAACTCATTTAATTAAATCAAATTAATAAAAATTAGATCTGCGTATGCTGTACGATATTAGATACCTACCCATAACATTTACATATCCATATTTCCATATGGAAAATATCTCGAATTTGTATTTTAAGTTTAATCATAAATTATATATATATATATATAAGTCCAAAAACAAACAGAATAAAGTACTTTGCAACTGTTTCGTTTGCAATGTATAAAGCTATATTAATAATTATATTCATAATTTTGGACGTATAGATTGGCGAAAATCAATCAATTAGAAAAACATTAATAAATTATTTCAAAGTTTTAAAAAATAAGAGACGTCATTGAGCGTTTTGACTTAGTTCGCCGACTTGAAACACTTAATAATCCCGTTATACTCTGATTTCCCACATTCAGTGACTTCGTAGGAAATTGGATAATTGATAATTGATAATGTTAATTGATAATTTCTGTAAATTACAAGAGTCGTTTCCTTAATAAGCGCAAAAACCAATGTTCCACATCATTGCTGCTGATAAAAGACATAAAATAAAAATACTATGTTGAGTATCTTGTAGGCCTTAATGGCATTTCACAAAGAGATTTTTGTAAGGATATTCAGACGCTTTGTATAGTGTTTAGCATTTTGTTACTGTGCTTTTGGTATACCAATTTTCATGTCCAAATCCTTCAAATGCCACACAACACTAACAACAACCGAAATTGAAACAGCTCTCAGCTGTTGTGTACATTTTGGATAGCTGTAATTTACTATTGTTGTGCGTCTGATGTTGATGTTGCTGTCTTGATTGCCATTCGATTGACCTCGTTGCGCATGCGTGCGCATGTTTCACGCTACACTAAGACTTTTACATAGAAACAAGTAAGAGGACTCTAGTCGAGACTGCTCGACTAGGAGATACCCTGAACCCTC